TTGTTCAGGCAAAGCTTAGCCTGTTCCATTTGGAAAGAAAATGGTCATAATTTCCAGCCCATTTTAAACTCTTCCTTCTTAGAATTGTTACTGCACACGTAACCTGGGTCACACAACTTAGTTTTCTGCAATCTCAATTCTTTTTCTAATTATTTCCTCTTCCCCAAATGAATATTAAGTTTGTTGTGTAAAGAGAATATACCTTACATTCCTCTTATATTCTTTCCAAACTCAAAGATTTGCCTTTGACCCAGAGTAGGTAGTGCATACAAACACTAATTTCATTTATATAGGACTTTAATATGAAAAAATACTTTTATGTCCATTCTTTTGTTTAAACTTCACTACAACCTCATAAAATAATTGTTATTATCTTTGTTTTATAATCCAGGAAACTAAGGTTTAGAGAGATTAAGTATACTGCCAAGGATAAGGATCATACAGCTAGTAATTAGCAAATCCTGCGTCTGTGTATGTGCGTGTGTGTGTGTATTCACCCCATAAGTCGTATCTTAAATACTCATTCATTAATGACAGCTTAATTGGAAACTTTTAAAAATATATTTAATTTTTTTTCTACTTATTAAAGTCTTGTTCCCTAACTTGTTTTTCCGGCTCTGAAAGCAGCTAGAAAACCATTTTGTAATTTGCAAAGATGTAGATCTAGAACCTAATTATTTCATTTGTACACAGAAAAGAAAAGCTGTACAAATGTAAGAAGAAATGGCACAGGAAAATCCTCAAGTAATAAGAAACCATAAATTCATTTGTATTTTAGGTAATATGTTTATGGCAGATATTCAGAGAATTAACATTATTTTGGGGCATCATTATTTATCTGAAAGATTAGGAAGGGCGTGGAAGAGTCTGCGGTTAAGGAGAGCAAAAGTGGTGTAAATAATATCAATTGGTAGACTCATTTGATTCAGTCAACAGGTTTTATGAAGCACCTGCATTTTCTGTCATGGCTGAGGAGTGGTTTTCAACACATGTTGACATTCGGGTAGGTCAGATACTCTGTGAGTTCAATCAAGATAACCCTGTTTACCCACTAAGATGACTCAGAGAGCTGCTAGAGACCTAGTTTTTCATTTTGGTCTCGTGCTACAAATGGTCAGCAACTCTGAGATTGATCGAAGACACCTGCCTCAATTATTATGCAATGATTCATAGATTCTTACTATAGAACATAATTGAGTATTTGGGTTTCCTCTTTCAGTTAGGGAGAGTAAACAAATTTCTTATTTATATCGACCAATCACAATTTGAGCAAGTTAAATATTAAAACCTATTGAAACAGAAAATGAAGTTGAGTTTAGGTGTGGATCATGTCAAGAACAACTATTTAGTCTTTATTTGAGAGATGATGTGCAAACATTTCATGCTGCTTGCCTAATTAATGTCTTCAGTAATTTACTACATCTTTTACTTCATTCATGAAAATTTCAAAGGATTAACTATGAATGGATATTTGAGGAAGTTAACTTACTGGATCACCGAAGTAGAGAAAGAGTGGCCCAAGGAAGGGTGGGGAGTAGAAAAGTGCTCAGGAGATAGTTGTTGAAGCTGCAGAGAAATCTCTATTTCTATCTCCTGGTTTAAACCCTTCATCCCACTCAATGTACATTAACCTGAAATATTAATAGATCACTGTGCTTCTCCCTTAAAAATAATGCATAAGCATTTAGATTGATGGTTACTGCTGCATTCAAGGTTCTGTAAATAATGATAACATAACTGTCTAGCACATTATATAAGATCACCTAAATTATAAGTAGAAGATGTATCACATCATGGTCAAGTCTAATATATGTAATTTATGGGCTTTATTCTCACTGTTGCAAGTGTCTGTTGAAGAGGGTAGGAATAATGACCCTTATCCAGAAAAATAGATGAAGTCTGTGTCTTTTTCTAAATCTGGAGTTTAAGAAACTGTGCAATCCAAAGGAAAATCCCTTTTAAGGGGAAAAATTAAATCATTTAAGATCACCCCTCCCACTAGGTTCTATTAACCACATTTTGTGAACTTAGTATGTGTCTGACACGATGATGAGTATAATGGCAGTGGTGGTAGGAGGTGTAAAAAAGTGTTGGACATGTGCCTTATTTTCACTGTTAGCACTATTTCTTTGAGGAAAGGATGGCAGTCAGTCTTTTTCTTCTGTTTTGGGAACATCCCAAAGAATTATTAAAAATTGTTTTAACTTTCATTTTGTCCTCAAAGTCTTATGCTTTGATTATTTTTGTTCTCTGAACCTAATTTTACACTTTCTCATAGCTATAAGTATTCATCTTTTAAATATTTCTTTCTCTTCCAAGACAGCTTTCTCATATCTTATCTCGCCTGTCTTCTTTCTTTCAGATTTTTGCTGAGTTTCTTAACATAACTACTTTGAGCTCCATCGTGGTAATTTTTCCATCTGTTATGACTTTGTAAGCCGGTCTACAAACCTTGCATCATCGTCACCTATTGGTGCATAGAACTGAATTATTCTTCTTCCCAGTTCAGAGCTTATTGTACATCCACAAGACTTTTCTTTTGTTTAGCCATATACCTTAATCCATTTCTGCATCTGTTCGCCTTTTTTCATAGGCAAACATTAATCATTTCATGCATTAATTTGAAGTTCATGAAACAGACATTATGTTGGTCAAAACAGTCAAATATCAACAATTTCATATGATTCAAATTAACATGTCTTCCCATTTCCCATTTCTTATTAATTATAATATTCAAAAATTGAAAAATATGCAATATTTGTATATTTCCTTTTCTGACTAAGTTAGTGGTGCCACCTATATCAAATAGCTAGTTCCTACAAACATGGCGCTGTTTCTGGGTTCTGTATGCTTTTCCAGTAGCATCGGCTGCTGCCTAGTTATCACGAGGTACAATGATTTTCCTTTCCCTGCCAATATCGTTTTAGATATATATGGGTCTTTGCAGTTGTTGAAATAAATTTAGCTGATATTTGGCGATTAATCTTCTAATTTCAGAATACTTTCTCTCCTATTCTCCATCCCTTTGTCTGTTTGCTCTTTGTCTTTTCCATTTTCTTAACAGTATATTTAAGATCTTCCATTGTGTTTTTAATATTAACCATTGTAAGTTTAATATCCAAGGTCTTTATCATGTTTTCTGATTGTTCCTTTGTAACGGCATCTTATTCTTGATTCATGGATGTAATATTTTCTTTCATCTTTCTAAAAATATTAATCATAGTTTCATCTCTTTTCCTCCAACTTGCTTCTTATATTTTCCATTCCCGGTACCTAGTCATAGTTTAGAGTGGAGGTTTGAAAAGTGAATTAGAAGCTCTGTGCTCATGGTTGAGACTTGCCAACTGTGGGCTTCCCTATAGCCTATGCTGGCTAGGCTGCTCAGAGCCTGTAATGCCATTATCTTCAGGGCTTCCCTCTCTGGTTTATCAGTATTTCCAGATAATGGTCTTCTGATCTCCAACCTAGATAGCATGAGGCTAGCTATTAGCACTCTGGTAACTGAGGGATCTCAAAGTTCAGTATGCAAACTTGCACTTAATCCCCCTATCCTGAGTATGCCATTTCTTTTTTCCACTAGGCTTGATGTCCCCCAGGTCAGAGAATCTCTGTTTTCCTATGTCTGGAGAATAAGCTTCCAGTTCTATTGTTGCCTGGAGTAGAAGTCACACAGACTGGAGGAGGGTATCTGAAGATAGAGTTCATAAACAGTTTTAACCAGTCCTCTTTGGTTTTGTTTGGTTTCACCTTATCCCCACTTTCAGAGCCATATGGTGCTAAAACTATCTGGACCTTGGGAAGATTTTGCCAAAGCATTAGAATAATTTCCCAGATTTCTGCTGCCAGTTTCGGATTCACTTTCTTAGTTCACGAAGTCATTTAATACTCCTTCTTTTTTATCATCTTCTGAAGTTTTATTGCTATTCTCTCATTCTCTGTTCTCTTTGTCCTTATAAGTTTATGCTTTGAAATATCCTTTTACCATTGTTTTATGGGGTTTCTGTAGGGGGTAAATTCAAAGGCACACATCTAATCCCCCATTTTTAACTGGAAATCCCTCTATTATCTTTTATTATTTGGTTCTTGTTTCTTTGGTTTACTTGGTTACTGTTTTATTGTTGCTTTGAGTAATCAATCACTTAACTTATTTATGTAAATCTCAGTTTCTGATAAATGTCTCTAAAATAAAAAATTTCATTAGTACTAATTTACTTCCAAAATTTGACCTTTAAGCTTTTATTGTTATTAAACTGTAAATATTTCACAGTTTTTCTTATGTCTTTCTCTTTAACCAAAAAACCCCCTCATTTTTAAATAATATGTTTTATTGTTTCCAGCAACATAGATCATGGAATTTCTAAATCTTAGTTTTGATTTCTGATCTTATTGTGTTGTGATCAGTGCTGTAAGTCTATATTATACTGATTTTAGTGGGAGTATTGAAGGTTTTTTGTGGCTTATTGCATGATAGATTTTTTTTTTTTTTTTAATACCACGTGCTTGAATAAAAAAGTGTCCTGTATGTTTGTTGTGAAAAAAGATTCCTAGGCCGGGTGCAGTGGCCCACGCCTGTAATCCCAGCACTTTGGGAGGCAGAGGTGGAAGGATCACTTGATGTCAGGAGTTCAAAACCAGCCTGGCCAACACAGCAAAACCCTGTCTCTACTAAAAATACAAAAAGTAGCTGGGCGTGGTGGTGCATGCCTCTAATCCCAGCTACTTGGGAGGCTGAGGCAGGAGAATCGCTTGAACCCAGGAGGCAGAGGTTGCAGTGAGCCGAGATTGCGCCACTGCACTCCAGCCTGGGTGACAGGGTGAAACTGTGTCTCCAGAAAAAAAAAAAGAGAGAGATTCCTAGGTAGTATAAATTAAGCTTATTCATTCTCAATTTTTTAAATTTAGTTTTTATTTTTGGTATTATTTGCAACTACTTGGTCTTTCTTCGTGGTTCCTCTTTCCTCTCTAAACTCTCTGTTTTTCTTTCTTGTTGTCATCCGTAGGATTTGCAGAAAGAACCAACAACTCCTACAGATGATGACAGTTCTCATTCTGTAAGTTTATCTGATCCTTATTTCATTTACTAATACAACAATGCAATTTTGGCTTCTTATACTTTTCCATTTGGCTGCTTGCTATAGAGCTAGAGGGACTTCAAAGAGACTTACATGAAATATTTTTGTTTATATAAGTAGAAAAACTGAAGCCTAGAGAAGTTAATTAACTTCTGAAACTCTCAACTAGTTATTCTAATTAATTAATCACATTAGTTAATCTAGTCTATTAACACTTTTCTTAACCTGAAGTTGAAGTTAAAAGTATCTTGACAGACCTAATGGTAAAGTATAAGATTTGTGAATGTACCGCTTAAGCAATGGATGTTTTACAAATGGAAGGAATTATTTTTGTAGCTCAGTACAGTCTTCGCAATAACACAATTCTTCTGAATTCTTGATGCATGTATTCACTATTATTATTATGAACATGTATCAGACACATTGTTAGAGTTTCTTATTTCAGAAATGATTCCAGTTTAGCAGAGAAGGCACCTACATAAACGAGAGATCTAAGATTGTTAGATAAGCGCTGAAAGATAAGAAAGCTATGGGTCAGAGGTTTTCTGGTGAGGGGAGTGTTCACTCTTCCAGGAGGTCAGGGGAGGCTTAGCAGAGGATAGGTCACACCCTCCGACACCTGTCAGGCAAGAGTGCATCCTTTACTTTTGTCCTCTGTTCTCTGGTGAACACACACAGGAAACTGTAAGTCCTTTGGTATTTCGTAGAATATTGTGTGTGCTGTTGCAGAAGATTTTGTAGAGTTAAGTGGTTTTTGGACAGCCTTATGGATCATGTATCTTGTAAAAAATGGAAAACCAGTGGAAGATCTTAGGCAGGAAAACGGGTATGTGTCTGTAGTATTGATGCCTTAAGTATATTGAAACATCATTGGTGTATTCCTGCACAGACCCGATAACATTTGTTTGGACATTTACAGGAAACCTTTCATTACTATTGGGCTTAGGGTTCCAACTTCTTTTTATTCATGATCATGAATCATGTCCCTAGTGAAACTATAATAAAAGTAAGATGCCAAGAACCCAGGTACAGAAGAGAAAAAGGTTGTCAAGATCCTGAAAGAAATTAGAGAAATCACTTGTGTTCTCCAGGCTTGTTAACTGCTCATCTTCCAAACATTTTTTTTTGTCAGCTGGGTACGGTGGCTCATGCCTGTAATCCCAGCACTTTGGGAGGCCAAGGAGATCACAAGGTCAGGAGATCGAGACCATCCTGGCTAACACGGTGAAACCCTGTCTTTACTAAAAATACAAAAAGTTAGCCGGGCGTGGTCGCGGGCGCCTGTAGTCCCAGCTACTCGGGAGGCTGAGGCAGGAGAATGGCGTGAACCCGGGAGGCGGAGCTTGTAGCGAGCAGAGATCGCACCACTGCACTCCAACCTGGGCAACAGAGCAAGACTCCATTTCAAAAAAAAAAAAAAAATTTGTCTATCTTTTCTTCTCTTCCCTCTCTCCTTCCTTCCTTTCTCTTTTTTTCTCCCCTCCCTCCTTCCTTCTCCCTCTCCTTCCCTTTCTTCTACCTTCTTTTCCCTTTTTTCTTCTTTCTTCAACACAGAGCATAAATTCTATATTTTTGTTTCTTTCTGGTTAGTCTTTTTGGATGAAGATGGTATTATAGCAGTTCATACTCTATACCCATGGAGAAGAGTTTACTGGTAAACCATGAACTAACCAGGGCTCATTTAAACCTGAGACAGAGTCAAAGCTCTAAGCTTCTTGACTTGGAGTTTATGGTATTTTAGTAGTTTATACACTGTTTATTCAATGGGAATTAAAGTCCATTTTTAAAGAATAAAATAAATTAACATAAACTTCAGCCCCAAAACTGCCTTTCATAAGCAGTAAAACAAAATCTTTCCACAGGCACAAAAATGTTGAAAAACAATGATTTTTCATGTTGGCTCAGAATTGCTTGCATTTGCATTACTATAATTATGTATCATCCAGAATGTTAACCCTGGTTTATTTTGTCATTACTCCATGTGCGTCTGTAGTTTTATACAAGTGGTAGTGGTGACTTGGTTATTGTTCTAAGTTTTATTACATTTTATATTGTGTGTTTTGTTTTGTTTTGTTTTGTATTATTCCAAGTTTGTATTGTGGTTCTTTCTTTCTAATTTTATTGTGTCTACTTTATTTGATTTAATCATACTGCATTATAACATCAAATGAGTAGAAAATTTTATTCTTCCCCCAAATAATTACAATTTTATACAGTTTATAGTTGTGAATAATCATATTTAAATCATAGTTTCAATTTGGTTACTTTAATAAATTTAAGGCTATTCTTCTATTTTCTCTTTAAAACTCAGAAAGTACAGCAGTATGGCTTTGTGTGTGTGTGCGTGTGTGTGTGTGTTCATGGGGGGAGTCTCTTAGATACTAATTTAGACGTTAAGTAATTCATCCAACCTGTGAGTATGCAGAACCAGGACTAGAACTCAGATCTTTCGAGTCCTATCTCTTTCTACCTTTCCTCTGCTATTCAGCACTTCACATAATTAATACATTAGTCCCATCCTTATCCTGTGAGATACTTCCCAGGACCCTAAGTGTATACCTGAGTATTTGGAGAGTATACACTCTGTTTTTGCTTTTTCTCTCCCTCCTTCCCTCCCTCCCTCCCTCCCTTCCTCCCTCCCTCCCTTCCTTCCTTCCTTCCTTCCTTCCTTCCTTCCTTCCTTCCTTCCTTCCTTCCTTCCTTCCTTCCTTTCTCTCTTTCTCTCTTTCTCTCTCTCTCTCTCTTTCTTTCCTTCTCCCCCCCTACCCTTTTTTTTTTGAGACAGGGCTTTGCTCTGTTGCCCAGGCTACAGTACAGTGGCACAATCTGAGCTAACTGCAGTCTCTGCCTTTTGGGTTCAAGCAATTCTCTTGACTCAGCCTCCTGAGCAGCTGGGATTACAGGCACACACCACCACACCTGGCTAATTTTTTTGTATTTTTTGTAGAGATGGGGGTTTCACCATGTTGGCCAGGCTGGTCTTGAACTCCTGACCTCAGGTGATCCACCCCCACTCGGTCTCCCAAAGTGTTGGGATTACAGGCGTGAGCCATGGTGCCAGGCATGCTTTTTCTTATACATATATACTTATGATGATAATTTACAAATTAGGCACAGTAAGAGATTAGCAACAATAAGTAATAATAAAATAGAACAGTTATAACAATATATTGTAATGAAAGTTGTGTGAATGTGGTATCTCTCTCTCTCTCAAAATATCTTTTTGTACTTTAGGTAACTGAAAACCACGAAAAGCGAAATGCACATAAAGGTTGAGGGGATTACTGTATACCCAGTCAATTACCTTGGTGTGTGAAAGTTCAGTAAAATAATTTTAGGTTGTCAAATCTAGTCCACGATGAACATTGCAAAGGCACAGATCAGGGCAGGGGAGTAGCATTAACCATTCTATAGTTACAAGGTAGGTATTTGTACCTGCTGGAGCATCAAGGTACAAATCACAAAATTTATAATAACATAACTTATCAACAAATACTTTCAAATCATAACATGTTTTATTGGGTCAGAATACATTTTGGATAATTTATAGGGTTGGTTTGTCCAATCTGCTTCTCTCATAAATCAACTATAAGTATGAAGCTCACTTTCTTTAGATCACACAACAATGGAGACAGAAGTGTCTGAGAATGTTCATTTCTTTCACTCGCTTGAACTATGATAGTACAAAACTTTTCCAAGTAGATGGATAATTACCCTGTATTTAAGATGCCATAATTTTGTAAAATGACCTTTTAATTTGATCCCAGTAGATGGATATTTAATTAACCTCATACAAAGATCAGTACGATATAATTTTTGAATTTTTATAATTTAAAATCTGAAGAAATGATATGATCAATACTTTTGATTATTATAGGCATATTATGATACTGGTCATAAAGTACATGTAAAAAAACATGTTCTGGGAAATCAAAGTGATAAAGGTATCTGTAGCTTAGGCACATCAGAAAAGGCTTCCTGGTAGAAGGCATTAAGATGACATTGAGCAGGGCACTGTGGCTCATGGCTGTAGTCCCAGCATCTTGGGAGGCTGAGGTGTGAGGATTGCTTGAGGCCAGGAGTTCAAGGTTGCAGTGAGCTATGATCATGTCACTGCACTTCAGCCTGGGTGACAGAGCAAGATCTTGTCTCTCAAAATATATATATATATATGGTGAACATTAAAAGATGTGCAGGAGTTCAAGAAGGACCGGATGAGGGAGGGAAGAACTGTCAGTGAGGTGCATGTAAGAAGCAGAGGTCTGGAGTCACTGGAGTGTGCGACATGATCAGAAGGGAGCTCAGGTCCCCGCTAGGGAAGCCCTGCGAGGTAAACCTGGACACACAACAGAGGCAGAGTGGAGACAACCTGAACGCCAAAGTGAGGAATTTACAAATTACTCAATAGGGCAATTCTGGGGAATCAATGCCTATTTTTGAGGCAAAGAGCAACCAGATGGGGACAATACTTTAGAAGAAAGATCTCTTGGGTGGGTTGAGCAACAGGGATTGAAAGGGGAGGGTAAGGGGAAGCAGGAAGGACAGAGAAAGAAGATCTGAGGCAGGTGGTAATGGAGAAGGGTTTGTAGGGAAGTGGATGATGGCGAGGAATTTCCTGGACTTGGCCACTGATTTGACAAAAGGGAAAAAGGAGACAAAGTTAAAAAAAATGACACCTCCGCCTGGTGTTTCTCTCTGGGTGACTGGTAGCATGGTGGCTCCATGAGAAGAACAAAGAAGTCTGAGAAGCAGCTTTCGAGGTGGAGGTGAGGGTTATGGATGGTAAAGAAAAGATCGCTTTACATCTAAACTAAATGCTTCATCTATCAGCTTAAACCACTGGACAAATAAAGGATTTAACACCTGACCCTTTATTTTTCATGGGGCCTGTGTGATTTTTTTTTTTTTTTTTTTTGTGCTGCCTTTTGCTTACAGTCTATATTAAAATAATTAGGCTTATCTTGCAGTTGAAGATGATA